ATACTGTTTTATAATGTACTACAATACTGAAGTGCAGATAATTGCCACTATTTGCAACAAGTAGTATACTTGATAGTAGAAATCCTGCTATTTTAACATAGTGTAACTAGGTGTTTGCACTTAGTGTAAATAGCATATTGCTAAAAAATACTGCTATTTTCACTTAGTGTAAATAGAATCTATTGCTTATATGAGATTTGAAAAGGGAGAAAAAAAAAGTTCGGCAAAAGGTGGGATCGAACCCTGGTCGATCGCGTCAAAAAGCCAATTACACGCGTTTATCCATCTGCTCCACTGAAGCTGATATTTAACAGCCACTTTTAAATGTAAATAGACACTCCGTATTTTTTATTCCATAGTAAGGGCAATTCATACAATACATTTAAACTGAGCTATTTTAATACCATCTCCGAACTTTCTACCACGACTCTGCTGTTCTTCAGCTGGTTCTTCCCTGTATACGTTGATTGACAGATGTCTCGTCCAGTCAGCGGTGAGTAATCCCAAACCAATGGCACTGTCTCAAACTATACATACCTCTTCCGGTTTGTCTGATTTGTCGTTGTGTTTTCTGACTTGTTATAATGTTTTTTGTATTGTTGTTGTGCTTTCTGAATTGTTATTTTGTTTTTTAGACTTGCATTTGCGTTTGTAATTTGTTATTTTGTTTTCAGAATTGTGATTTGCTTTGCACTTCTCGGCCACCGTAGGAACCAGACGAACTCAATCCCAGTGACCCCCAGCAGCGCTCATGTCTGCCCGACGACAGCCTCTCAGGTCAACCTGACAATAATCACATTATCAATCATAAGCTGATTATGTGCGTCTGAAGAACACGTGCTGATATTTGAAATATATTGGCACAATATTAGATTGCAATAATAGTCAGTTCACGCACATAGATGACTGGCCTCATTTGAATCTGTGCACTTTAATGTGTGGGATTTTCTTTACAGATTCACACAAAACAGACATTTGAAATAAATAGAGTTTCAATATAAAATAGTACTTTAGTTTTTACTAACTAAATTCATTTATTGCTTTACCCATGTTACACATTGGTGGAAGTAGGTTTAACAAAACTCAGAGCATTTATATGTGATGTGTGTGTATTTATGTGTGTGTGGTATAATGACATTGTTTGTCTTTTTTATATTTTATACATGTTCAGTAGCGTCCAAAAGCCTGAGAGCACATAATAAAATCATTGATTGTTCTCTTTAATCCTGCAAAAAAAGTAAAGAAAGTTTATAAAATTGAGAGAAATATTTAATATTCTTTTGAATTTCTAGGACACAAATCAAATGTAAGACAAAATGTGTCATGAAAATGTATTTTTTTTCTTTTTTGGTAACACTTCACGTTAACATCTCATTTGTTAACATTACCTAACAATGAGCATGATGTGATTTATTTATATAATATATATATACTGTATATGCAACAGCAATATATAAACTTTTAAAATGGCATTTATAAATCTTTGTTAATAGTTAATAAAAATAGATTTGTTCTTTATTCGTTAGTTCACAGTACATTTAATAATCGTAAAAGATACAATATTTGATTTTGAAAATGTATTAAATGTGGAGATTAAGATTAATTAATGCTGCAATGTTGTAATGCTTTAAGTATTGTTAATGTTAACTAATGTAGCAAGTAATGTTAACAAATAAAATCTAAGTGTGAAGTTTTACCTGTTATTTTATTTATTTTATTTTTTTAATTTTTACTTTTTTAAATAAGAGAACAGTTTATTAACAAAACATTTTTTGAAAAAAAAATTAAATTTTTTTTTCTGAAGATTGTATCCTATCCTGTGTTTTCCTAATTAACCGATTTTAGAAATAATTTTGGAAAATGTTTTAAATATGTATACAAATATATACAGTATGCAAATTTTCTAATCAGTATGGTGTGCACTGTATCCCACAATGCAATGCGCTTGAGTATAATAAATAAACCTGAAGTGATATCAAGCATCTAATTTTTTAATCATCCAATTATTCAAGAGTTAATTGGCTTAAAACATCAAAATAACACATTCTAGGATAACCACTTGCTGAATGAAACATAATGAGGTCATGATATAATAATGCCACATACTACTTATTTATTAATTTAGGCATTTATCATTGCATAATCATACGCTATTCTTAAAGTAGCAGAACTATGTCTATCAATACACTGCTTATCAGTGGATAAAAACATGAAGTGCAATAAAGAGGCATGAATTTTTACTTTTTTAAATAAGAGAACAGTTTATTAACAAAAAATTTTTTGAAAAAAAAATGTTTCTGAAGACTGTATCCTATCCTGTGTTTTCCTAATTAACCGATTTTAGAAATAATTTTGGAAAATGTTTTAAATATGTATACAAATATATACAGTATGCAAATTTTCAAATCAGTATGGTGTGCACTGTATCCCACAATGCAATGCGCTTGAGTATAATAAATAAACCTGAAGTGATATCAAGCATCTAATTTTTTAATCATCCAATTATTCAAGAGTTAATTGGCTTAAAACATCAAAAT